AACGATGTACTCCGGGGCCCCACGAACACATCGTTTCGATCCCAAAAGGCTAATTATGTACGTATTACCTATACCATATTAATTAGGGTTGCTTCAATTCAATTCTGTTTCAAAACAGTCTCCCTACACGTTACACGTTGGATTACCATTTAAACTGATAGCAGATAAATCTGAGCCGAAGAAGTATCTTGTCGTTTCAACATTTGTCAAGAGTCTAATTTTCTTATCAAAAAAAGCTGCAGAACTCAGTCTACTTGACAAGTTATCAATATGAGGATCCCAATGCAGTCGGGAATCAATCCTACGGAACTTAGTCGATTCTAACCATTCATCTTTTTCACTATTTACATTTATAAGTTATGAGTTCGTATCCCATCTCAGGCCATTTAAAACTTATTGGCTAAGATTGGCTAAGGTCGAAATTATTGGATAAAGTGAATAGATTTGGATAAACTGACAGAAAGACTATATAGAAAGAATTCTTAATTGAAACAGCTAGAATTTAAACTGACCTTTTTTATAAGGCTAGTACTGTATTATACACTGCCACAATCATAATCTATTATGTTCACTTATTGCTTATTTTATTCTTCTTTCAGAACATTTAACCCGTAACATTTATATTCACCAAAAACGTTATAACAAAATATTACAACAACCGCTGAAATTGGCTCATACGTGACTGGAATATCTGTTCTGCGAATAAAATATGAGGTGTGAATAAATATGAAATATGTAATTTTATTAATACCTTTACTAACAAGAAACTTATAACCATAGTTTTGTTACACGTAGCTCTGTTAACATCATTCCAAATCCAATTTAGTTCAAGTGAAAAAGACAAAACACTGGAAAGCAATGTCTTGTTCAGGATAGCCAGATTTCAATGAAGTTGTCCCGCGTTCAGATTTCTTATTCTTATTTTTATGTATTTAATTATATTGTAATAACCGGTATTATAAGTATTTAATAATGCAGCACGATAGTTTAAAAGTGGATAAGCCCACTGTTTTTAGGAAACCATGTCATCGATTTCTGAAAAGAAAAACTGTATTTATAAATTTAATGTTCATACATAAAAAATTTGGTTCTCAATTTGGCACCGAACCCACGTTTTGAAAAATAAAACTTAATTTTTTTTTCCTAGATGCCGATTGTGTAGGTCTTAAGCATTTAATGCTACTATAAATCATAAATTTCATAGTTTTGAGCTTTCCCATACTGATCGTTACACTCTGTAGTTCGACATCGTAAATAGAGCATAATATTATGAAGTCATATTGTTACCACTGCACATCATTATTTCCTTGGAAAATCTATACCTCACACTGTCCCCGCACGTTTCCACAATTCACCGCAGAGAGACGTCGATACATTCTACGGTCGACGTGACTGTCCTCGTTTTGTTTGCACAGAAATATTGTATAAGCGTGCCAATGTCAACTAGCGAGCTTTAACATATACAATAATAAGACAGAAAGATGACTATATTCAATAAATTTTGCATTCACAATGCTAAAAATGTTTAAAAAATCCATCCCATCTCAGAGTACCAGGGACAAGATGTTAAAAGAAGGCGGTTAATCAGCGAGACATGTTTTTCGAAGTAATGTTATATATATATTTTTAATAACTATACGTTACACAATCGAACTCCGACTTCCATACTTATGCATGTAATTTTTACGTCAAAATATTTTTTCACTGTGGCAGATGGACGGTGACGCAAACCTGATCCTGCAAGAATTCAGTTTGTATAATTCTATAATTTTTGTTGTTAACAAAATTCCAACGCTCAATGGTCTGACGCGATTTGAACATCAACAATTTATCGAATATAAAACATGGCACCATTCGTGAAATGCGAAATAGAATGTTGCCTAATGATTTCGTCAGGAATTCAGAAGGTCCTAATAACCATGACTGGCTGAAAAGCATCCATTTAAAATGTGTTAGAGTCAGCTACGGTTACCAGTTAATAATAGGCCGGATAATGGGTCTTTTGTGTAACGAGGCAAGCTCCGATTATGTTACAGATTTTACTTTTTTTGTAAAATACAGTTGCAGGTACAATTTTACAGGTGAGAAGAGCGAAGTAATAAGAACCGCTTACCTGGTCGATTCTTCGTGTATCAAACTATAACATGACCTGTTTGTATTTTTAAAACACCTATCTACGAATATATCTTCACGCTTCACTCTTGCAGGGTGCCTATCGAGTGCCTATCGAGTACCCAAGAAACAATTAGGCGCTGGTTGCAGGTTATTTTAAAGCTTAGAGTAATACTACTGATTTATAATGGATTCGGTTGTAACTAGAGGTGGTACAGTTTACTTAAAAAATAACCTTAACTCCTGTGGTGATATTAGAATCGTATATAACGCAATTATAATTTATCTACAGTTATTGCAGTAGCGGTAGCTGCTTATATACTTATAACGTTAAAGCTTGTTTCGGCCTAGAATGTCAAAAGCATTTTAAAGGTCTTCATGAACTCTCTGTAACTCTTATTACTATAAATATTCTGTATTGACGACCCTTATAAATAATAAGACTGTATTTCAACTTTAATAACGTTATTAGTTCTACAACGGAGTTAGATAAGAGTGTAGTAACACCAAACTCTAAATGCGTTGTGGGTATTTCTAACACTTAAAGTTAACTCTTTATAACTCTTATATATAGTTAAAGTTTGTACAGCAGTTTTGTACGATCATGATATAAAGGTTTTGGTAAGAATATAAGCTGTAGGTGTAACTCTTCAATGACACCATTAAATATTTCTAACACTTAAAGTTTATGTGCTAAATATAATTGTATGAATTTCACGATGTGCATTCAATATTACAATGAAATAAATTAATTCGTAGAAATTACAAAAAAGAACATATGGAGTGAGATATAAAATTCAGCAACTATATCAGAATGGTTCCGTATAGTTTTGATGAAATATAATTTTTATAAAGATTTTTCGATTTTGATAGTTTTAGTTTGATAGTAGCTCGGACGAAGAAGATGATAATTCTGATTTATTTACAAAAAAATATTATACTAAGGGAAAAATTATAAAATTGGTCTATTACCTTTCCCTAAGTGCCTTTAATTTTAAATGAAAGTTTTGAAAGCACAATTTCTCTGCCCACGGATCCAAGCACCATTTTGCAGGCGCTATTATTTAAAAAAAAATCAATAAAGATGTTATATTTGAAACTCGTATTAAATCGTCTTATTTAAATATGCATAGTTGAAAATCTCTCTTATTCGTTACAAGGTAATGAAATACACTCTGGTGAAATTAAGTGCAAATTAGTTCATGTAACCCACAATAATATTTATTATATTGTACTTTCTGTCACTCCATAAACAGTATAGGAAGATTACGTAATAAGAAGATTTATTATTAATTCGGTATTTTTTATTCAAAAATTACTTTATTACGATATAAACTACAAATTGATATATAGTAGTAGCACAGCGTCGTCCTCTCGCGCGCCGGAGGTGTAACGGGCGCAAAGGGGCCGGACACGACAACGTTCATCGGCAGCGGCATCCCAGCGCGAACTGGGGACTCCACTCTGGCTGATTTAGATGAAATTTTACTATTAATTTCTAGGACCGACGTTCTATAAGTTCTATGGAAAAAGAAAATAAAATTAATAATTAACTATTTAAACAGGTGTTGTATGCTGTAATTATTATTAAGTTTTACTTTATAGATTATATTTTGTACGAATACTAAACTATTCGATGAAAACTACTTAAAGAATAAGGATTTCAATAATTTCATATAGAACCCTAATCTCGATGTTTAAAGGTAAAGCTGGAAGCGTTTTGTGACTCTTTGAAATCACCAAAGACTTTACAGCATTATGTAGCATAGTGTAGTGTTATACTTGTACGAAGACTGTACCTTTAGGAAAAAGTCACCATTTTTGAATACTTTCTGTCAACATAACCTCAAATGTTAATTAATACAAATTCACTTATTTTAAATCTAAGTACCAAAATTTACCCAATTATTGACTTGATTCTGACTTTATTAGTGTATACGAAGACTAAAACTAATCAATCTTTGAAAATTGCAAACTAAAAACTGTTTTAGGTTATTAGCACTTTTAATTGTTTTCTTGATTTTTTACTTAAAATCATATATTTTTGAGGGCGCGACAAAATTGAGATGAGTAACATAATATACAATCACATTAAACTTGCAAGCGCACTTATAAATTAGCTTAAGATACACTTAACGCACTGTTAAAAAAATATATTAAGGAATTATACTTACATTTCGTGATGAAAGGTAGACCGACTGAAGCACTTGTCATATTATGATAACTTTAACACTTGATGTATTTAAGGCTAACTAGTTAAACTGTGACACAAAAATCGCTACAAATGAGTTATAAGGTATCTAAATAATGGTTTAAGATCTTTTTGACACCGATATAAGTACCTTACAAAACTTAAGATCTCGGTAAACTCTATTATACAGGTGAAAATAAGTTTTAAACGGAAAATAATGATCTTATAACACCACTTATACACTTCTATTAAGAGATATGTAGAACCACTTTAAGGGGTACCTGTATAATTTTGCGCCAAAATCCAGGTTATAAAGGTGTTATTACACTCTATAACTCTCTTATAAGATATACGCTAACTCTTAAATATCTAACCAGAACCGAAATATAGGTCTACTAAAGCTTGTTTTAACGTTAAATTGTTAGTTGGGAAGACATGTGGTGTTTTGTGGCTCTCGGTTCTCACTATAGCAAATTGTTATTTTGAAATACAGTTACAATACACGGTTTGGTAAATGGTCTAATTTTATTGTCCTTCAATACATTAATGTGTATTAGCTTTCCGCTAGCGGCTTAGTCCGCGTGGTCCTGTATTATACATTTAAACCTTCATCTTGAATCACTCTGTGTATTAATGAAAACTGCATTAAAAACCGTTGTATATTTTAAAAGATCTAAATGTACAGACAGCAGGAAGCGGCTTAGTTTTAATCTATCAGTAGATAACGGCGGTAAAATTATTATGGCGTTTGAATTTGGCATTAATTTTATTGAAAAATTGAATAGAAGCTGAATGTTAATAAAGTAATTCAAACATATCTGTCTTGTTCAGGGTCCACGGTTATTTCTAAAAATACTCTAACTTCATATGACAACTTTGCTATCAGCGTATCTTCTGATCTATAGAGGGTATTCTGTATATTTTTTATCACTTCTTTTAGAATTTTAGTCACCCTTCCTCCAGTTCTAGTCCATACTATAAAGTCATTAAAGAATTTATCAAATGTGTCAGATTTACCTTTACTATAGAAAAAATCTAAATCTGATAATATGATATGGACTAATAAAGTATCTTGATCTTGCTTAACTTCTTCTTTACTGTATATGTTATTTATTCTATTAGCAACTATCTTTTGCACTGCCAACAATATATCTTTAGTAGGCACATGATCAGCAAATGCCATATCGTTTAAAATAACTTGAAATTCATTAGCTGTTACTCCACTCAGACGCGTATATAAACTGGTCTCTGGCAGTAATTCAAATAGAGATCTTATGAACGATTTCACTCTATTCTTTGGTAAACTCGAGAGCCTCTCTAATACATTGTTGAGACTGTTAGTACATAGCAGAGATCTTGAACATATTCTATGATTTTGACAAAGTTTCTTCTGATATAATAATTCTGTTTCTGCTATTCTAACCACTAATTTCTGCGTCAACACTTTTTTGATTACATCATCCTTTGCGTCTGCGTTCAGTTTATCTGCTACATAAGCAACAGCTCTCGTCTGAAACTCTGCGCTTATCTTTTTAATGAGACCTACCCAAATATAATCTTCATTGACATCAGTCGCTTTTACATTTGCTGCTTTTATAATTTTTCTGATACCACGCAAGCATCCTTTGAGTTTACCAAATAAAGGTGCAGCTGCTTGCAATTTTTCTTCAATATCTATATTGTGGATATCATCGAAAACACTTTCGGAGACTTGAGCTAAGGCAATGACATATTCGTTGATGAATTGGTAAAGTGCACCCACGCAGAAATTGATCTTACGACAAAGTGAGGAACTTATTACTTCCATTGCTATGGCGTTTGTCTGTCCATCCATGGAACGTCTGCTGTTCGATGAAGCAGCTCGACGGAAATAATAGTTTAATGTGTCCAATACATCTTTGCCAAGAACTAGAGAACCCTGCATATCCACTTTGATTGATTCACCCAAAAAGAAGATTGCTGTAAAGTAATGCCGTTACAGTTTATCATTATCGAATATATTTAGTTAGAAAAAGAAATTAAATAATCTTGTTTCATGCACCTATATACAGTACAGTTGATTATTTCATCAAGCTTGTTTTAGTATTTTCATCCCAAACAAAACTTACCAAATATACAAGGGATATATTTTATAAACGTCATGTTGTAAAACTCAGTTTAATATGCATTAAAATTTACATCGATATCAAATATTTACTAGTCTCATAAAAACGACGATAACACCGGATATAATACTATACAATGCAATGCTCTCTCATTGTATTGGAATGGACCAATTTTAAAGAAGCTTAAATATATTTATTGCTCAAATGATATGGTGCAGATGACCTGGTTTTGGCCTCCTTTTGTCATTTAAAACTTTAAAGCGTTTTTACTTACATATATAGCCAAATACTTATATTATATTAATTTAATGTACACGGTATTTAAAATGTTGATTTATGGCATACAACCTTCACTTATTTCTATCTTTTAAAATAGTGAAAATCGAGTAAGTAAAAGGTAAGCGTTTTGCTTAAAAAAGAGTGGATTACATAAATTATTCTATATACAATTCTTTGTTGGTTGTCCCCCTCCCTCCAAACTTTTGGAGCACAGGCCTTCCCTATGGATGGAATTGACCCACCGCTATTATCCAAATTATCTAAGAAAATACACAGTACCCCACAAGATAGTACGTATGAAAGCCCAGAAAACCACGTATATGCGAAACCATCTACGCCAGCAATTTTTTCACTTCAAGTTGGAAATAATTTCTGCTCTGAAGGGGGAGGAATTATATCAACGGATACATATAAATCAACGGCGATCCAAATTAGCCAGTTACGTGTTGCAGAAATACATGATTCAGCGCAATGAGTTTAATAACTAGAGAAGCAATCCCATACAACAGACGCGCCAAAAAGCGTAGCGCTTTTCCGAAATCAGGACGTAGCTTTGCAAATAATATTTATACTATATATTATATATAGATTTATTATATTTGTCTCCCTCATATCTACGATTAAACTTTAAATTAAACAAAGACAGAATATGTGCGAACGACAGAATGAACGGAAAAATGGGTAATTGATATTGTATTGCCAGCTGTCGAAAATTTCACCCATTGTGATGAATGAATGAATGAACGAGTAGTGTAGATATATGTATGTATAAATCAATTAGTAAAATACTGTAACTTTTTAAATTTCTTTGAAAAAACTTTGAAAAAAAACAACAATTATGAAAGTAGGCTCTGTGCATATAAATCCCTTTGTTTTTCGATAAAGTCAGTGGTTAAGACAAAAACATTTGTCAAAGTTCATAAAACATCAAACAAAGGTTCAATTTTACGTATTTTCAAAAGTTGTATCTCGACAACTAACGAATTCCACGCATTGAAAAAATTAAACCATATTAACCATCTTTGTGCATGTATAAAAAAATTATCAACAGAATTAGCGCAGTTGCCTATACTTAAGCTGAGCTATATAATTAATTATAAAAAGATATTTAGATAAATTATAGCCACTTGTAAAATAAAAAGAAAAGGCTTCCCATATACTTGGGAAAATTGAAAGTGAATAGCAGTGGCAATACTGACGACAAAATGTCGAAATTTTATTTGTGAAAATTAAATATTTTTATTTTATAACCTAGCTTTAATTTTGTATTTATTGCCAAAAATGTTAATGACTTAAGTGTGAAACTTAATATTCTTTCGTATTATGTGTATTTGTGAAAGAGAATCGAATTTTATCTACTGTTTTTCTTTGTTTTTGCGGAGCATTTTTTTGTACTTTCTTGGCGGGAGTTGAATGAGTAATGAAGTGAAAAACGAAAAAACTAAGACAAACGTCTTAGTTTTAGTAGCTTCAGATTTTTGGTACGTATTGCGTATCTAGACATATTAATATCATTTATTCAGCGTCAGCGGAACGTATGGGTACAACGTTCAATGGCCTACGTTACCTGGCGTCATCATATTGTGAAATCTACATTTTTAATTAAATTAATAATCATATTTTTCCAATACTTTGTTCCTAGCATCGGGCTTAGACAGTAGTTAGTAATAAATGAAATTAAAATTTTGCCTTTAATAAATACATTTAATTTTAATTTCGTTTTTTTTTTAATTCCTTCGGCTGGAACCTACGTAATGAGGAAGTATTACAAAAACGACAGCACTAAAATAGCACCTCCACTAGATAGCGACTTTAGCGAAAGTTGATTTTTGCAGGAAACGAATGGACTAAAGCCAGTTATTTCAACTGACATATTAAAAACTGAAATTTGTAAAGATCGAAACTTGGATATCAATACAAATACGAAAAAATACAAATAAAATTTGAGTTGTTTATTAGTTTTGAAAACTAATTTACTTTTAAACATGAAAGAAAATCGGAAGGATTTCTCCATGACAATTCATGGAGAAATCAAGAACGTACCGTAACGACATCTAGTTTGATTTTGGGAACTAATGTTTTTTTAATACTTTCTCTTTGGTATGTAAATATATTGAATGTATATTGTACATGCCGTGGAAGATAATATAAGTATACGACAAAAGATCCACTGGGCATTATAGGCAATAGCCATAATATGCCTGGCAGTTTTCTAGACATATTTGGAATAAAAAATTCCGGTAGTGGCAATAATTTTCAGGTGTACCTTACCCGGGTGTTATGAAAAATAATACTCACGGTTTTTTTACTTTTAACTCAGTTAATGTTACTATTATACATGATGTCTGATGTGGTTTATTAGCAGAGTTTACACAGCGTCAGAATAAACAGAACAAAAGAAAAGATTATTATGGCTAAATGACAGTGTCGAAATTATTTATGGAACTAGGTATAAAAACCTCTGTTATTCCTAGGCTCTAACACTCCTCCTTAATTTTGATTCAGCATATACCATGCATACTCACGGTCATTCAATCACACTCTTAAACCCATTTGACTTGCACACCAGTCAAACTTTCCTTTTGCTAGGGGTTTGGTCAATGCATCAGCAACCATCCGATTGGTTTCAACATATTTAACCACTATTTGGTTATTCTCAACAGCTTCTCTAATATAGTGGCAGCGAATATCGATATGTTTCGTTCGCTGATGATGCACTGGGTTTTGTGCAATTGCTATAGCAGATTGGCTATCACTAAATATTGTGATACACTTTTCCTCTTTGCACATAATCTCAGCTATAAATCTCTTTAAGAATATTGCCTCTCTTGCAGACTCTGATAAGGCAACATATTCTGCTTCTGCAGTCGACAAAGCTATGGTGCGTTGTTTGACACTCTGCCAGCAAATAGCTCCTCCTTGAGATGTAAAAACAAAACCCGTCCAAGATTTCCTGTCTAAATCGCCACCATGACTTGCATCAGCATAGCCTTGAAGACTATTAGTCACATCACGATTCCTTGTGTAGTGAATTCCGAAATTCTTTGTGCCCTTCAAGTACCTCAACACCCTTTTAGCAGCTGACCAATGTTCCTCGGCGTAGCAGGTGTTAAACTGACTCAGGGAACTAACTACATTTGTAATATCTGGTCTGGTACAAACCGCCAGGTACATCAATGACCCAATAAGATTCTGATAAGGAATTCTCTCATCTGGCTTGTCCTCCGACTTCCTTAAATGAGTTCCAGGTACTGCAGGTGTTGCAGCCACTTTGCAATCTTCCATACCAAACGTCTTGAGGAGCTTCTCTATATATTTTTCTTGATCAATTTTAATATGATCCTTATTATTGGTAATTCTCATTCCCAAAACAATATGTGCTGGTCCAAGATCTTTCATTTCGAATTTCGAGGTAAGCTCCCGTTTTACCTTTTGAAGCTCCTCCTTGTTATTCCAAAATATCAGCATGTCATCTACGTAAACAGCTAATATTATGATTCTATTCTCAATGAATCTTGTATAAACGCAAGGTTCATTTTTAGACTGTATAAATTGAAGTTGGTTCAATTCACTATCTAGTTTCTTATTCCATGCACGAGGAGCTTGCTTAAGTCCATACAATGACCGATTTAATTTACATACATATCCAGCTTTGTCTTTAACTTCAAAGCCCTCAGGTTGTTTCATGTAGACCGTTTCTCTTAAATCTCCATTCAAGAAAGCGGTCTTGACGTCCATTTGGTCAACCTGTAAATTCATCTCACTGGCTAAAGCTAGCAAAGTCCTCAACGAGCTGTGCCTGACCACCGGTGCAAACGTATCCTCATAGTCAAAACCTCTTCTTTGACTGAAGCCACGTGCAACTAGTCGAGCTTTATATCTCACATTATTTCCTCCCTCTTCTTTGATTCTAAATAACCATTTAGAATCAACTATGTTGCACTTTGCCGGTGGTTTCACTAAGGTCCATGTATTATTTTTCTTTAATGCATGCAATTCTTCTTGAATTGCCTTTTTCCATTTATCCCCATCTCTCCGAGACAAAGCTTCCTGAACCGATGTTGGATCCGATTCACTCCCGGTTGTATGATAAAGGATGTAGTCGGGAAACTCTCTGGCTCTCCTTTCCCTTAATGGATATCTCCTTTCAGCCGTAGACGCTTCTATTTCGTCTTCATCAGCTGAAAAATAATTGTCCTCATCGCGACATTCACCATCTAATTCGTTCTGTTGTCGAATTTCGACAGGTGCTCTATTAAAATTTTCTCCATTTTCAACATTCGATTCAGTCAGTTGTTGACCAAAATCTTCTCCAGGCATATCCTCTTGCTCCTCCTGATTAAATTCAACAGGTGCTTCATTAGCTGAGGCTCCAATTTGCTCTACATTACTCCCAGTAGTACGAACTTCCTCAATTATTTGATGTTCCTCTAAAAAATCTGAATGTGCATTCGTCGTAGAAGGATCTTCTTGTTGATACATTTGGTTTTCAAAAAATACAACATCTCTCGCTTTAAACACTACACCAGACTTAGGATCTATCAATCTATATGCTTTGGCATTATCCCAAAATCCAACATAGACTAATTCCCTGCTCTTGGCATCAAACTTCGTTCGTTTCTGGTCAGGAATGTGCATAAAAGCTTTGCATCCAAAAACTTTTATATTTTCAAGGTTACTCTTTCTCCCTGTCCAGGCTTCCTCTGGCGTTTTATTTTTAAGAGCAATAGTCGGTGACCTATTTTTCAAGTACACTGCATGATGTACAGCTTCCGCCCAAAATGATTTAGGTAGACCTTGAATCATCGCTCTACTTTTCTCACATATTGTGCGGTTTGCTCGTTCAGCAACACCATTTTGCTCTGGGGTATACTCAACCGTGAGTTGGTGTTGAATTCCATTTCTCTTCAAAAATTCATCCATCCTTCTATTAACAAATTCTGTGCCATTATCCGTTCTTAGTGCCTTTATCTTCTTATTAGTTTGCGTTTCAGCTAGTGCCTTAAACTCTTGAAATTTTTCAAACACCTCATCTTTATGTTTCAAAAAGTAGACAAAAGTTTTTCGAGTAAAATCGTCGATAAAGGTAAGAAAGTAACGGCATTTACCAAAAGAAGGAGCATTAATGGGACCACACACATCCGAGTGTATGAGACCAAGTACCTCCGTAGCTCTCATACCACGTGTACTCTTTTTCGGAAATGGTTGTTTTGTTTGTTTTCCCTTCAAGCAAGATACACATTCGAGTTTAGAATTTGTGTTAGGAAAACTTACCCCTGTTGCTAATTTATTTCTAAGTAGTAGTAGATTACGTTTACCAAGATGACCCATTCTCCGATGCCACAGGTCTATCAGTGAATCCTTTTCAGTCGCTGATGCAAGAGCTGATCCCTGTAAACAGCACTGTTTTAATTTATATACGCCTCTTTCTACTACACCTTTCAGAAATACTCGACCTGAAATCACACATTCATTACTCTTAAAAATCTCACACCTTTCGTTTCCAAATACTGCTATGTAACCTTTTTTCGCAATAGTACTTACGCTCAATAAGTTAGTTGATAACTTAGGAACATACATAGCATTAGTAACTGACATTCCTCCTAATGAATTGCATACTACCGTACCTTCTCCTTCTCCATACACTTTTGTATTATTAGCACAAGTCACTGTTATAGGGTCTATACTCTTATAGTCCTTATACCACTCTCTCTTGTTAGTCATATGTGACGACGCTCCTGAATCGAGAACCCAATCCTCGTTTCCGGAATCTCCAGCTGTAGCTAGTGCAAAAGTGTGTAACGCTTCCTTTTGCTTCTTTGGATTGTTAGGACATTCGATCGCTTTATGTGCAGCACCACAAATAAAACATTGAAGCTTCTTAGCTTTTGGCTTCTTCTTGCCTTTTTGTTTTGATAAAAGTGCAGAAGTCACAGAAATATTCATGTCTCGTTCTTTGGAAGTAGAAGCGGCAAACGTATCTTCCATTTGAAAAAGTTTGGTCTTCACATAGTCGGTAGTAAGCTGAATGTTACTGTTCTCTATAGCTAATCTCATTGGTTGAAATTCTTGGGTAAGACCTTGAAGAATCAAAGCAGCTAATAGCTCATCATCGATCTCTTTTCCAAGATCTGACAGCTCCTGAGACGTTGTCATTACTGCAGTGACATATTCTCGAACAGTTGAAAAACGCTCTAGTTTGTAACCTACTAGTCTTGATAGCAGCCTGCAGCGATTATTTAGGCCCTTATCCTCAAAAGCATCTCTTAATGATTCCCATGTTTGTTTAGCTGTCGAGGCCTTTTTGACATGAATTAAACAATGAGGCTTTATCATCAAGCAAATCTTGGCCCTAGTCCGCTGATCTCTCTTTGTACCTTGTACGTCACTTACGGCTGGAGTCTCTCTCGTATACTCCCATAAGTCTGCATCGATTAGGTACATTTCCATTTGGAACTTCCACGTAGAATAGTTTGAATTACCGTCAAGCTTCTCTATAACGGGTGTACTACTCATAGTTCCAAAATACGAATCACTCTTATAACTCGAATCACCTCTATCAGCGACTGTACTCATACTATCGCTATTCTCTCTAGACATTCTTCAGCGTGGTGGATTTTTACGCCCATAACCCTGATGTGGTTTATTAGCAGAGTTTACACAGCGTCAGAATAAACAGAACAAAAGAAAAGATTATTATGGCTAAATGACAGTGTCGAAATTATTTATGGAACTAGGTATAAAAACCTCTGTTATTCCTAGGCTCTAACAATGTCTAAAATGAATAAAATCCATTGGGTTATATAGTTTTCATGTTTTTTTAATTTATTTTAACTGGTGTTCGAAATGTCCGTTTTTTTTAATACAACATTCCACAAGTTTAGTTTTGCTGTCTCTAGCGTCATCATGCTTCATAGTAAAACATTAACTACTAAAAACCACATAGACAATCGGTATTTGTACATCGATATTATCGCAGTCGATATATCGGTTAGCGGTATACCGTTGCATCCCTGTTAAAGGTATATGTCAAAGTGACATTTGTAGAGTCAGTCTTTTTATTTCGGCCATTTTTGCCGAAAGATTGGTGTACGATTTAGGTCACGTATCCTTTCGTGGCCGTAAAATCACTCATTTTAAATACTATCAAGATGGTGCAGAAGAAGGTAAAAACCATGTGCGTTTAATTTACAAGTGTATTTTTATGCGACGTAGTGATTTTATTGTAAATAATGTGAACCTTTTTTAACATGTTTACCCAACGGAAACCACTGTTTCAGCCGCCGTTTATATTGTTTTAATTGCATAGGTATAACTTAATACATTAGTTAATTTGATTAGATATATACACGTTCGTTTTCTAGGCAGTAAGTTTTATAAATTTTTAACTACTGATCAGTTTAACTTTCTAACCTAAACGATGCCATGATGTCAAAGTTTACATGAACGCCGTGATTACACACAAATTATCACCAAGATCTCTGAGTTTAATCTTTGTCATGTTTAGTTGGGTAAGTGAGAGACCAAATTATGTAAATGATTGTTGATTTCAGCCTAAGAAGAAGGTAGGCAAGAAGGTAGCGGCCGCCCCGCTCGTTGTCAAGAAAGTTGAGCCTAAGAAAGTAGTCAATCCGCTCTTTGAAAAGAGAACAAAGAACTTTGCTATTGGTAAGTCTTCATCGTTAGGAATTTCTATTTATTATTACAAATAGTATTTGTAAATTTTCCAAGGATATTGAGTTGTACTTGAGTAATGCTTTAGTACACCATACCTACTTTGATAATGATGTAAAACTTAGTCTGAAGATTACCATGTGGTTTCCAACATACGAGCTTTTTAACACTGATTTCAAAATACAGAAAATACATTAACTGAATGTTCTTGTGGTGGCTGATTATAATATATACTGGTTTTAGGTCAGGATATTCAGCCTACACGCGATCTATCCAGATTTGTGAGATGGCCCAAATACATTCGTATTCAACGCCAAAAGGCAGTCCTTCAACGCCGTCTGAAGGTGCCACCACCAATCAACCAGTTCACTCAGACACTCGACAAGACTACAGGTTTGTGGTAAATATTGTATAATTAGTGAGATTATTACAGAAGTTTTTGTGATCAAATATTGTATTATGTTTGAAAAGAAAACTGTATAAAGTATAAAGATTATATGATCAACTTTATGAAATGCAATTTAGGTATGTTATGACAAATTTGTTTCTGAATTTTACCTCAAATTGCAATGTATTAATAAAATAACCTCAGTATTACACAGAATGCCATGAAAAATTTTGATATCATTCCGTTTGGAGTTGCGATGTTGCCACATTGGTCTGTTTATGTTATATGATTTTTGATATAGTAATGAAAATACTTGGAAAACCAAGCAAAATAGTTTTTTTTAGAACAATGAGGGAATAAAAATTCTACATCTCATTTTTTACTCTAATTCCTTCTTCTGATATTACAATTTCTAGATGTTTAGATCAAATGATGAATTTCCAAATGCAACTATGAATCACTATGATTATCAACAAAATATACGAGCTTTTTAACTCTGATCCACTAATTAAAGTGCTAAAATACATATTGGGTAACTATGCAAGTTCTAATCTTTGTTAAAATGTGTTTTCAGCCAAAGGTCTGTTCAAGATTCTTGAAAAATACAGACCAGAGACTGAAGCTGCCAGGAAAGAACGTCTAAAGAAAGCTGCTGAAGCCAAGGTATAGTCATTTGATAAATATATTTCAAACATTGAAGAAAATTTAGATATTATAAAGTGAACACATACTAACAAAACTGAATAAATCTGCAGAACAATTTTCTGCAGATCTATTCTGATCTGTCATGCATTAGCTAGACTATATATATATTTGTTTAATGAAAATCACAACAATGGAGGTAACCTTAAATTGATAGATATGGAAATGAGTTTTTGTAAAAAAAATTATTGCACTCTGCTGAATGATTTTGGCTTTTTGTGTGTTACTATGTGTTTGCATTCCAGCATCGATATGTATCTTGAATTATTTATTCTAAAATTTGTGTGTTTGATTATTTTATATGTTATATTAATTTTGACTAATGCATTAAGAACGTTTTTCAGTATAGCATTGTGAACACAAAATGATCATATAAAATACAAAAAAAAAAACTTACTGAAGAAAATTATATGATTAATTGATAGGTCAACTCACACTGACTTATGTTTATTTAGAGTATCAAGGTCATGTAAACTGTTTATAGGATTTCATACCCTAAGGGTTAAAGACTGCTGTCTGAATGTATCACCTAAATTCTGAATTGAATATTTAAAGTTAAGCATGTCTCAAACTATTCTAAAATATCTTTTAACAGGTTTTAATTTCTGGTTTTAGTTTTTTAATAGATAGTAGTTTGATAATTTTAGGATATTTTACTTTTTGAAAAGTAAAAAGCTGAAGATATTGATTAACTTAAGATTAATAATCATTTGAGATTGTGTAATTTACTCAATCAGAAACTGGTCATATGTTTGTCTGTCACCAGGCCATATGTCTTGAGTTGTGATAATTGGATATTAAAATTTCCACAAATGATGTATTTCTGTTGCTGCTATAACAGATACAACAAAAAATTTAAGGTGGCTTATTTCCATTATATAATAGAACTGGCTTGTTTTTTTTTTCACATTTACCAAATTTTGAAAGCAGTCTTGTAAATAAATAAAAATTATTATTAGGTGTCATGTTATAATACTGGGCATACAACACCAAGTTTCTTTCTGGTCTTCTCTATTTTGGCTGTATTTGTGAATCTTGTGTAACTTTGATTTCACATATACATATTACCAGTGTAAAAATCATATATATTTTTTTATATACTCCCCCAAAACATCAAGATATAGTTTAGGAACTTATTCTCTGATATGTCACAAAAAATACTTTGAATAATTTTCATAAAGCTAGAAATTTACTTACCCATAGGGGCCAACTGCAAAAGATAATCTCTCGAAGGTAAACTTCCTTTATTCTTAATAGATACCAGACATGATGTATAACAAACCAAATCAGATTGCCATGAAGACCTTCAACCACCAAGATCTCTGATATCCTCCATTCATTATAACACATTGCGGAGCCTATCTAGAATATTCTAACATGTTAATTCGTAATTAGATCGCCAAGAAAGACGAGCCGCCACCGAAAAGACCCAACACAATCCGTGCTGGCACAAACACAGTCACCAAGCTGGTGGAGAAGAAGAAGGCGCAGCTCGTCGTTATCGCACACGACGTTGATCCTATTGAGGTAATTGCCTTAGTTCAATAATTTTCGGAGTTTTTATCAAGATCTTTTTATTGAGATAGAAGTGGTTGAACTGGGAAGTCGCGTTTGGTAGTTTTTTTTTTGCACCAATAAACCCCAGGCTGGTGGGATAAAATATTACCTACCAATTTATAAACTAACTGTCTGCTCATTCAATGAATTTAAGCATGCACTTTTAAAGTTATTTTGGTTGCAAATTTTCTCACCAATGTTTGTTTGGAACTTGCTGTACAGGTAAATTACTACACATAAAACCCTTTTTTGGTGTATTATTACACTTGCAGCCAATTGCACAAACATCCATTAAAATTTTCCATTAGTTTAAAGCAACATTACCCATACAAATTTGACATTAGAGCCTAAAGGCGTCATTAAAACTTTGGACGTTTCTGCAATTGATGGTTAGAAACATAACCCTGGGAGTCATATTAAATGAATTATTTTACTTTAATTGGCAAGAGATTATTTTAATATAGCTCTTTTCCAAAATAATAAAATTGGGTATTGTCAACAAAATTAGTGCCTTAGTGATTTTAAAATCATAAATTTTACACAACTGTTGTAACAAAAAAAGGAACAATCTGTTTGTTTACATTTGGGTTAAGATTCAACTATATAAATCAACAAAATAAAAAATATTATGATAGGGATGACGACTAATTTTTATTTGTTTGTCCGTCAGGTAGTGTCGAAAAATATCAAACAAGTATTTTTTTATTTTTTCGTAATCATAAAATTACGGCGATACATGGAGTTGAAATTTCGCATGACGTCACGTTATGGTTCGTTTTCTACAAAACTGTGACGTAGCAAGCCCCCACTCTTCAACTTTAATGCCTGTTATCTAAGCTATTTCTTGTTAAATTGAAGCAAAAAAAAATACGTATCTAATATTTTTCTATTATCCGACTGACGGACTAAATAGAATTGCATTTTTTTACCCAGTCGTCATGCCTATAGTAGCAGTGATGTAAGAATTTCTTCACCTGAGGTTTGCAACAGACCTTGTGTCGTAAGGATGCAAACTGCATGAAGATGTTTGACTCTGAGCTACATATTCAATAATAGTTACCATAATTTGCCGTATTATGTTCGAGTACAATAGTAACTAAAAATACTTTTTGGTACATGCAGCTAATTCATTTTTATGTAACTGGAACTTGGAAATCTTGTATAACACAATAAAACCCATGGAACCTCTTGTATTTTATTTGATTTCATTAAGAATATTATTTGTGATTGTAAAAAACGGTTCTAAAATTTTTTGAAGTGTAGATGTAGACTTTCATGGAAAACATGTTAATTCAAAGATTGTAGTGTTGGAGTGATAGGGTAGAGTTGATGTCAATATTGAATTATGATTAGGGTCACATTGATGTATTAAAGATCCTAGGGTACCCCCTCAAGGGTCCGCAGACGACAGACTGGAAATCACTGCAATAGCACAAACACAAATTCTTTCAGGGATTTAACTTATTTTGGGTTTTTATTTCCAGATCAAAGAAAAATATATCATTATAACAATAATTTTACACCACATTAGACTACTAAATGGGTTTTAATTTATTGTAAGCCTTATTCTGTAGATAATTTAATTAAAATTTGATTGCAGAATTATACATATTATTATAAATAATAACATTATGTAAATAATAATAACAGATGTAGGCATGCTGACTAATTTATCAGTTAGAGATATTCATATATATGAATAATTTTATTTCTTATCTTATTTCTAAAACACAAAAGTATATTTTATTCTTGTTTCATAGCTCGTGCTGTTCCTGCCGGCTCTGTGCCGCAAGATGGGTGTCCCGTATTGCATCGTGAAGGGCAAGTCCCGCCTCGGAGCCCTCGTCCATCGCAAGACCTGCTCTTGCTTAGCTCTTACAAATGTGAGTTACCGAATCTGTTTTCTAAAAATTGTATATAGGTACTTACTCCCTTGTAAACGAGTCGTTAATATTTCAATTTGCAGATCTTGTGTGAGAAAACATGTCAAAATCATTTACAAATACCATTCGAAATCAATTGTGTTCACCAAAGCATAAAAATTTAAATAAATTACTGGTACAAATTAAAAAGTTACAAACATAGACTTCAATCATCTCACATATAGTCAGACTTGCATATTCTTTTAAGTTTTACTTCAGTTGGTTAGATTAATTTATAACTGTACATTTTATCAATGAAATGGAATAGAGACATATAACATCAATTATCTTCAAAAATATGTCCAGATTTTGAGACTCGTCAACTGATTATTTTTAATAACCTTAAGTTTTTTATGTTTTACAAGGCAAAAAATCCAAATTTTATTAAACTGCTATCAACTGATCATTGAAGAAATCTGACACGAAAACCTGTTTAACTTGCCCCTACATTTGAGCGTTTCAGTTTTGTTAACTGCAAGTTAACACGGGGCATGCAAGCAGTTAAGTTGGTTTGAGTACTGTCTGAGACATGCTTAACTTGAAATTCTCAATTCAGAAATCAGGTGTATATTAAAGAAATGTGTAATTATTTTCAAGACTCAATAAAATGATGATTTATTTGCTATCTGAGTGCCATGCTGACAACTCATCTACCACCAATAGATATTTATCTGATTGTTACACAATATACAGAGGTTTGGAACCATACTTCCAGTGATACTTAGTTATAAAATCATATAATTAAACAGGTGGAATCTGGTGACCGTGCTGCCTTCTCGAAGGTGGTGGAAGCCATCAGGACTAACTTCAATGAACGCTATGAAGAGTTGAGGAGGCACTGGGGTGGTGGAGTTCTCGGTAACAAGTCTAATGCGCGTATCGCCAAGCTGGAGAAGGCCAAGGCCCGTGAGCTCGCGCAAAAACAGGGCTGAGAGTAATAAACTAAGGACTATATAACAATTTGTTTTATTTAATTACCATTATGTAGATTTATTGGTTTATCCAAAGGTTTGTTGTACACTTAAGGCACAATTAATCGCCCATCTTTGATTTCTTTCAATTCGTAGAAATCGCCAAACTTAGACCATATTTTATGAAAGGAATGTTAAAAACTATACTAAGTAATAAGAAACAACAAAAACATGGAAAAAAAAGTCTTATGAAAGTATGCTAACCAAAATCGATTATTTGAAAATCTTCAATGAAAATATTTTGGTTTTGAAAAAAATATAAATGAATAGTGGAAAACATCCAGTACCAGTCTTCATAAAAACTGATCCAACGAGCCCAAACAGGGTGCATATGCGTAATTTCATTGCTAAGTTCCTATGACCTTTCAGCTCCATCATCACCAGACCTTGGCCTGGAAAACATCCAGTACCAGTCTTCATAAAGACTGATCTAACGAGCCCAAACACGATGCAGAGTTGCTTCATTTCAACATTAGGTTTCTATGATCACCTTCCGACTTCATTTGTTTGTTTTGCCTCGCGTTTGCTTCGAAAGATAATATGAGCAGCGCTCTGTAACGTGGACAAGTGACAGTTTGTACATGCGCAGCACGTGCATACGACGGCTGCAGGCTTGTAGTCTTGTTTTTCGAAATTGGTTGAGTGCTTTCTGCCGATACATTGGCGAATACTAATCCATGGTAATCCGTCCAATACAACTGTACTCATTGGAGCCCAAAATTGTCGGGCGGTCGCCGCAGACACCGAACAAATATATAACTAGGTGCATTCGAGACCCGAACGAGAGGTAATTGTCTAAACGTGTAGGGCTGTCGCTTATAGGTTATTAGGTTATTAAATCTTCAGCAATTCATGGTCAATCAATCTCTAAAATACGTTTCCCCCGATATGGTAAGCATCCGAGAACTATAATAAAACTTTTAAATGTTTTTTTTTATATATATAGACCTGGAGCTGACTACATTTTTGTTCATACCTACACCATGTCATCAATTTAGTGTTCTGTAAAATTAAAACGTGGTTTTAACGAATTATGTATTTATTCATTTTTTTCCAAATAATCAAGAGTACGAACAAAATAGGATAATGCCGATCTAAATTTTTTCATGTGCTTTGTACAAACGGATTCTATCAGTGGCCCATATTTTTTTATATTACATCGTCTAATACGCAAATATATAATTCAATATCAATTTCAATTTGGCGGTGTTCGGGCATAGAGATTTCATAAATTAAACTACAAATTGATATCTGGTAAACGAAATCTTGAGCAGAAATAATTCATAAACACTTTCGATGGGTAAATAACTACACAAAAATTACTTATGATATTATAATAAATTACCCGAATACCTAAAGAAGGAAATACCATATAATTGATTTATAAAATGTGAAATACAATATACTCGATTTATAAATGCGCAAGCACGGCCACACTCTATTACTGTTGCTATCTGCTGCTATTAGAGAATATTGATATTTTGTAGCACGTCGTCTATGTAAACAAAGTAATTTAGTAAGTACAGCCAGCGTACTAGCCAAGACTGGCGAATCGCCACTCGTGCCTTGAACTCCTATAACTTCGATAATTTTGTAAGTGTGTGCGTGCGACGACGCATACGCACGGGCGCGCTCACATACAAACCATTTTCAGTGCGTAGGTATTATGAAGAGCACTTACTCTTTATACTCTGCCGCAGATATCCCGCCCTAGCCCCGTTTCGGAGATACGGCGCACGCTCGACTTAGCAAACGCCTATAATTATCAGTCTGTTACAAAATAGGGACAAATAGAGCCAAGTTACGGAGTTTCATAAATACGAGTGTTTGGCGCTGTCGGGCTGCCGACTGTTCGGCATTTTCAAAAAAGTTTTCCACGTTATCATTGATCCCCTGTTTATCAATCTAGGATTTAGAAACACTGTAGAGCTGATGGGCTGACGTTATTCTAGTGTCGTTATATCTTTGAAACTATAGCATTTCAGAAGCACGTTCAATTAAAAACTTTACAAACTTAATATCCTGCGAGTATTCAACGCTAGTACGTGAATAAATTTTGTTAGCCTAGTAACGCCAAAAAGACTCGTTAATCTCTAAAACTACACAAGGAACTACACTGCCAGCTTGACGACACCACGGTTTTACTACAACGTTTATGCTCTAGATGGCGGCAGTTATATAGAAAAGTTATTTTGTCCAAAAATATTTGCTTTTCATAAAATGTTTGGAATTCGATAGATGGCGTTGACTTTAATTATTATTTCTGATAAATCTTCTAACTTGGTAGCTGGCAGCAGCACCTTCTTCATCTTCATTCAACTGATATGATTTCTATCAATATTTAAAAACACATTATTGATTTTTTATATTTTACGGGCTTTTGATGGATAGTCCATAAATGAAACAACTTTTAATCGCGATGAAACCGTTTAATAGTTGTTTCATTAAAAAAAACATATTTCAAATGCATTGTATGCAGTGTAGTGGTGTAGTAATGAGACTCGAGCCCTTTTTTTACTCGAGTCACTTGAGTGAATTTGTCAACCTCGTGCTCGAGTTTTCGTGTGAATTCTGCGCATTGAGTTGATTCTCTTGTCACTAGATGACACTTTGCTCCTCTAATTTATTCCGTCTATGACACTAATTATTTTACTTTCTTAATTACTTAAAAAAATAATATGTCGAAACTCTTTTAATATATATTTTGTTTAAAATTACTAAAAGAAATCTCACTCGAGTCAGTAAATCCTATTTGAGTCATAAAATGAACGTAAATCGAATGTCCACTTATGTTTTTCAGCATTTTGTAAAATGAGTAATGGTTTCAAAATGACTTTAGTAGTATAGATAGAACTTTTGCTTTATCTGTATGACTATTAAACAATCGCTTCCCTCTGTCTGTACGCTGTGATGTATTAAACTACACAATATCTTTTAATGTGGTTATAATCAATATCCCTACAGAGTAATTCAAAAGGTTATGATAACAATACAGGACTACAGGCCACTGGCGGAAAGCTAGTAATTTATAACAAGGGTAGGCTCCAGCCTAAATCCGAATGCTTTTTAGAAGAGTCGATGTAATATAATCAGTCGTAATCACAATATTCAATTACCTTTGTCTTCTTTAAAATATGCATACTGATATGATAAATGTGAAAGTGTGATTGTTTGTCCGTTTTTCGCGTCAAAGCGGAACAACGGATTTTTTTACGTGATGATCGTAGAAGGGTGAATAGTAACACAGGCTACTATTTGTCTCTTTCTATTCTCCTACACTGTTAAATAGGGCGTGGAAGTTTGTTTGGAGCATCCGCAATTTTCAAGCCAGAAAGTTGATTTCTATGCGGACTCTTTGTAGCTAGCGAACAATACATCCATGTTTTTTTTTTAATTTACATTAATTACCTTAAAAGAGTTATAGTATGTTTTACGGCGATGTATTTTTTTAATCTATGTTCACAGATTTTCCGGCGAATTGTTGACAGATTTTCAAAATTCTTGAATAAGTCGCTTTTAAGATAAGTGTCATTTATCTCTTTTTTTTTAATTGGACGTAGTTACTCAAAAAGGATCCGACCCATAAATTGGTCGAAAATGAGATAAGTATACCAAAATGTCCATCAGGATCTATACTTTCATATAGGAAAAAAGCTCTGAGCTTTATTAAATATTTGACGTTTGTTTTCAATGCTAGTTACTATCCCATATCTTTGGTAGGTTCATATTTTAGTTCCATAAAAACAACTCAAGCTTCTTGAATCTCCGTTAAAAATCACAATAAAGGTTCAAAACGCTTGAATTATTTTTGTTAAAAGGTAATTTTATAAAAAAATATAATAATTAACCAAAATTTGGCTTTTTAGTTAATTATTATATTATTTATTTATTTGGATCGTTTTTGAGATTTAAAACCTGAATATATATCAAAAAGGATCCAAACATACTTTAACTTTTATATTTTAATAAATTATTGTTAGTTCTGTTAAAATGACATTATAATAAGATAATGTAAGTGGTTTTCTATGCTATTAGATAAAAATATAATACACAAAAATGTGACATCAACATGCAAATACAGCTTATACTTCAATCGTCTATATCTCGAAAGTAACATTGTGTGGGATGGATCCTTTTTGATTAAGTACGTCCAATTGGAAATAGTCTTTTTTTTTAATTATATAAGTTATATATATTATAATTCAATTTCTGTCTCTAGCTTTGAGAAGGAAGAAACAAAAACAAAAGCTACGCGATATTCTATATTACATTTGAGCCATTCCTACCGCCAACTCATCGCCCGTTAACTAGTTAGAGCTTAATAAGCTTTATCCACTAATCAATAAAGCTCATTGGAAAAAAAACACTTTTCACGTTCAATTTTCTCATTATCCCGCGTATCTGTGCTGGCGATCGTTAATTCCGGGATTGATGTATCGAACAGTGGACAAGAATAGATATAATTACAGACGTAAATTACTCTGATTGATACCACGTCAGGGCTGGAGCTAGGGAGACAGTATACACAGTTTCGTGGCTATACTGTTTGAGGCTCGTGGCAATTTAATCAGATATTGTATTTTTTTACTTATTGTGTAATAATAAATGTCAGAAATAAGGATTTTCCTCTGATTGTAGGCCTCCTCTAGCTGGAGGTCCGTGGCATTTTGCCGACTTGCCTCACCTAAGTTACGCCATGATATTTTCATGAGACTTTAAAATTCATGTCCGTTTTCACTAAACTTAGGAGTCGCCCAAATTTGTCGCCTCAATATTTAGGAATCGCCTAAAGTAAAAATGTATTTCACTATTGACTAGAAACCACTTAACGAAATTATGCAATGGGTAATACATCCATTTTCACTAACCTAGAACAAGGCATAGCTTAACCAATAAACGCCTAATATTACGAATCGCTCAAGCAAATTAGTTTAATTGCAAATAAATATTTCTTTCTTTTATCCCTTGACATATTTATGACCTG